CCAATCATATATGTACAAATGTCATGAGAGTCTCTCTTTCTCCTATTTTTTATATTTTCTATTTATTAATAATGCTTAGATACTCTATGAGAACCTCCCAATGAAGGTGCGGTTTAATTTGCTTAGTTTCAAAAACCTTAGGGTTTTATTTTCTTATTTAGAATTTGATAGGTTTTGATGCACACTTCAAATTCTGTTAGGTTTATTTTCCAGGTGAAACGAAAAATAGATTAGAGTTTTATTTGCAATTTTCCCTACACGGTAACGTTGATCTAGCCGAGGAAGCAGCTCAAGAACCGTTCAAGATAGAACCCAAAAATCCTTCTACTTATGTTACAGTGCTAACAATTATGGTGCAATAGGAAAGTGGGAGGAAGAAGGAAAATTGAGAAATAGAATGCGTGAAATCAGAATCACAAAGAGTCCCAGTTTAAGCTGGACAGAGATTAAACTGAAGCGTCATGTATACATAGCAGCGTATACTTCACATTAGATGTATGTTAGAGCTATTTTTGGTATATTTGATTAACTTCGGTATATATACAATTTGTGTTAGAGAATGTCATTGAATATAGGTTTGCGTAGTGGTAAAGGTTCAATTAATTGTCAACGGTCACGAGTTCGAATTGTGGAGAAGAGATTTTTAACTTTAATGAAATGTAAATTGATTATTTTCAATTCTTCTTCCTCATGGGTCTGAGAATTAAACTTAGATAAAATAACCAGAAAAGAACTTAAAAGAATCCTAACAATACATGAAATATTTCAAATACCCTAAAATAATCGATTACAAAGGGATACATATAATACTTTAAACTAAGATAAAAGAAGGAGGCGGAAGAGGCATCGATAGGTAAACCGATAGAACATCTTCATTCCAGTTTTCTTCAGGAGAAGACTTATCTGAATTGTCTCTCTTTCTCTTGTACTTAGGTAAACAATAATTTCTGCAGTCTGTTTTATGAGCATGCTTGAGAACATCGACCTAGTTCAATATTATACATTTATCTATCTTTTCAGGGCCCATCTTCTTTGTGAAGCATTGAAAAATACTCCCCTTCAAAGGTAAGTACATTATACCAACGGTGTGTCCACGCCTTTCAAGCTTTTGCAACTCAGCAACATGATCCTCATCATTTGATATAACCATAAAGATTGTCTCTTGATGACAAGAGATTGCCCATGTTAGCATATCTTGTCTCATTCGTCTGTCAGAAGCTTACTTTCCTTCTATGCGATAAGCTAACGCGGTGAAGAGGAAAGTACCAGTCCTCATCAATCTCCTATGATAAAGAAATGCTTTAGTGAAACCTTGTTTATTTGTTGATTTCGCTCTGAGCTTTGCTTCCTGCTTCGCCATTGCTAATAGTGTCC